TTAAATAATTTAATTTAACTGGCTACTTACACCTATGCCCGGTCCTAAACGGCCTCTTTAATTTCTAATTGATTTTATAATTTATTTCCAAAGAGTAAGACGTACTGCTTGTTTCAAATTGAACTTAAAGTCCGCGTCAAGATCTTTCCTAGGCTTGTTCAGTATAATTACTTACTTAGTATAATATAATGAATCGAAAAAGTTAATTATGCACGTTACAAAAAAAAGTGCACGAGGTTGATTAGCATTCTTCCTCCCTTCCCGACATGATCGACGCGCGCGTCTAACAAACAAACGTAATTATCTGCCGGCGATGACAATTAGCCGTCAGCGGTAGGAGCTTTTCTCGCTATCGATCTCCGCCTAGGCGCGGTCAGAATAATAAGTTACCCAAAGAGACGTACAATACCGATCCGACAGAAGTTACATAAGGCAGACGCATAATATTGGATTGATGCATCAGTTCGTCCCGTTTTTAAACAAAAAAATTTCGTACTTATATTTTATCGATATACACTTAATCAGTGCAATGTTGTTTTATGACGATCAGTTTCAACCAAGGCCAAGATTTCATGACCGTCAATTTCGGAAGGCCGGCCAGAACGTTGCTTTCGAAAATAAAAAGCATAATGTGCGGAATGCGATGTTTATTTTTATCGAGCTTTATAAATTTACACGACTCACAAACACCACTCGACGACAACAAATTTGACAGTGTAAAGTTTCCGTTCAATTGCCACTTTCAAATGTTTAATACGTCATGTAAGTGTAAAGTTGATAGCAGATCGAATTTCGTATATAAAGTGCGCGAATGTTTAGAAACGGGACAAACTTATGTATCCACCCAATACTTTTCCTGTCTAATGTAACGTGTGTTACACCGTGCTTCAAAGGGTTGAAGTCGGGTAAACCGCTGACCAAAATCACGTACACCAGTGCCTACTAACGCCCGGCGGACGTTACTTTATATCTTATTTCATCTTGTGTTATTTTTATAATGCCCCAGCAAGGCCCAGACTGATGCCGAAAAAATGCCTAGCCATGCCCAGTAATGCCGCAAATCTCAGCGGTTTACCCCTCGGTTAAAGTACTCGAAATAATTCCCGCTACGTCATATCAGAGATAATTCTGGTAGAAAATTGGCAATACGACAAGTCGATACTTATTTACGTCCAATACGTAACGGATTTCACGTCAAATTCCGTACTTATTCTCGCGAACGATGACTCTTCTTGCGCCATGATTTACGACTTCGGTTAATCTCCAAAGTACTAACTGTTAAAGTATCGCGGGAGTTTTAAATCGATGGATACAATTAATGACGTATTTGACATGGCGAGAAGAAGGGTTGCAAGAAAGTGTGTTTGCTATATCTCGAAAGAATGTTTTCCGCTCGAGTCCCCTCGGAGGAGGCGGCGTAGTCCACGTGACGCCACTTCACCCTCATATATGCAACGCTATCCTTCATCGGCGCCGACGACAAAACCGCGGGTGGTTTTTATTAAAATGTCGAACCCACCTCGGCCCCCGCCCCCCCACGCGCCGCTCGAAGAAATCAATTCGAGACTTCCGCGGCGATATTACCGACTTCTTTTCTCATCCCCTTCGATTCCCGCGTCGCTGCCCGAATTTCGATTTCGTTTGAATCGTACGCGCGCGATATCGACTCACCTGTCGGATGAGAAAGAGGAAGGAAGGTCGCGCAAGTGGGGGCGGGGGAGGGGAAAGAGGAGGGCGAGGTGTACGAGGACGGAGGGGAGGAGGGGGGGTGGGGGTGGGAGCGACGTCCTGAAAGGGTTGGAAATGGGGAAGGCGTCGCGTTACTTGGCGACGCGTTTAGATCGCTGCGCATCCCGATCTCAACCCGTAATCCGCAGGATCCCTGTAACCGCGAGGGCAGATAGATCATTTCCACCCCCTTTGCAGCGCGAACGTGTGCATTTCGCCGTGAATGGAGACATCACCCCCCGAGAATTGAGTTGTCGGGAAAGTAAAGGCGAGCCGCGAGCTGCCAAATACGGGCGTTCCTACATAATGGATCGTTATTACAATACCTATAGAAATGTTTAACCTATTACAGAGACGAGCGACGATTTAACGACGGAACGCGCGAGAGCGGGACCGAGTTAAAACAAGTCGCGCGATCGAAGCGACAAAATGATATAACTTGATATAGACGTTTCTTTCGACGCAATGCTCGTGTCCTCCACTGAGAAAACAAATTTTCGCTACCGTGGATAATCGTGATTTGCTAAAAATATTTTGCTGCAATAATTATAAGTTTTTAAACCACCCCGAGTCGAAATTTTGGCCCTCTGTTGAACCTTTAAATCTATTATATAGTAGGACCTAAGACAGTGAAACAGGTTGAACTGCAAGTACAAAATTTACTCCTTCTTTAAAACTGATAATGTCGGAAATTTCTACTTTTGCCAATTTAGTATTAAAGTAGGTCCTTTTAAGTAAGAGCTAAAGTAAATTTGTAGAATTAAAGATTCAACGGAAGAGTAAAAAAATATAATGTCATCAAAGTAGGTTATTGCTGGTCTATGTAGGTGTACAGATCAGTTAAGTAGATGTAAATTATATGATAATTATCCTTAAAAGTGTCAAAATAGTACCAAAATTTCAACTCGGGACAGCAAACGGTTTGCTTCACGGAGAGAATTTTCTCTTAAAATTTATCCTGAAAATTGTGTAATTGTAGAACGACATGGCATCTCGCAGAATTTTTTAATGAGTTTTTTTGAAATTGTACCATACATGTTACTAGTAAACTGCGTACTAACAATATAATTACTAATAAAATGTATGGTAAAATTTCAACAAACTCTCACAAAATTCTTCAAAATGTCGTGTTGTGCCACGATTACGTGATCTCCAGAGTAAATTTTAAGAGAAAGTTCTCTGTGTGTCGCACCTAATATAATAGGCGCAGTAGCAAAATATTAGCTGCCACAACTAAATATTAGCGGAAACTCTTCTATTATAAGATAGGATCCTAATGTGAGGTTTCAACGTCCAAATTCAATCACAAATCTTTTTTCGCAACGGTCACACGATCTAACAATCAATTTTCCACTAAGCAGATCTCACTCTACGGGCGATAAGTTCATGGTGGAACCAACAGACGTTGCCTGTTAATTTAGCAGAAACTCCGCTGTCTCGTATTAGGAGCCTATCTCATAATAGGGGACTTTCCTCTAGCTGTCCATATTTTACAACTGAAGTTCAGTTACTACATGCAGTTTTTAGCTACGGTAGCATGTTTTTCTTCCGTGTTAAACGCGCGCTTATTTCGCGAACGTGAAAGAACGGAAAGTGGGACGAAATTGTCCCCTCGCTGTTCGCAAAACAGCTCGTTTCCTCCGGTCACGCGGGACTGGCTGATCCTCGGACGTGTATCGGGTACACACTTTCGCCAGCGGAGGGTCCAACAATGACCGTCGATCACCTCGAGGATTGCGCGGCTCGTGCAATCCTCGATATAAACGGCACGCGCACCTATTACATCACGTTGGCTTTAACAATGGCGGATTCCTTGCCGCGCGGACAATGCACGCGGATCAGGAGTCCACCCGTCTTTGCTCGGCCGTTTATACGACGCAATAGAGCGCGAAGAATGACGGAGGGGAAAAGGGCTTTCCTCTCACTCGGGTAGCTTGCGCGCATTGGCGGTGAACTCTTCTGGCGTTCGGATTGGATTTAGGAACTGGAGGAATCCGAATATTCATTGCGAATTTTTATTACACTGAAGATGAACCGAGTTGGATCAAAACGTGTGCAAATTTAGAATATTAAACGTCTTTGACACCGAATAAGATTGCGCTTCAATCTTCACGCATTGGCCTCATCTACCTCTTCTTATTCATTGCTAGTTTATTGGATTGCTATTTACACCGTAAGAAAGTGAACTGCTCTGATCTCCTATATGTCAGTTGAATATTAAAAGATAGTCGGCAAAGTGTTCGCGCGTGGAGACTTCCAACCGGAAAATGTGGCGATTCATTTGTATGAAATGTTGTGTTTCAGTCAGTTACTTCTGTAATTTCTTTAATCAATTCAATTAGTTCTAAGTTTGTCATAAAATCCCCAATGAAAAGAGTTGGAGGAATTTGTTTCTTTGTACATTCTTTAATTTCCCCAGTAACTGCGATCATTAGCACTTCGATTAAAAATCCTGGCATAACAGTTGCGCGGACAGGTGTTGAGAAACTTGGAGTATTCGACGTTACGCGAAGGGGACAAAAGATAAATACACGGTTAAGGAGACATGATGATGTATTTACCGCTTAGAAGGAAAAGTCCGCAGGCTACGAGGGTCCTGTGATCGGAATAACAATGGCCGATCAGAGCCGACACCGTCGCGGCGAAGATCAGGACCGCGGCGACCACTTGGAAGGGTGCGGAGATCCTGAAACAAAGCGGAAGAAACACATTTTGGACAATCGTTAAAGACGAGGTGGCTCATTCGCAACGCGGCGCATTTCGAGCGCGTGCTATTTTTACAGGTTGAAAAGAAACCGACAAACGGCAGTAGCTACCATTAAGGAAAAGAACTGATTAGCAGTATCAGTAATTGATAATGTTGAGTCAGTAACTTGTGGCGTTCTATCAGTGACTGATTGCGAGAGACAGCTATTGGTAATGTTTCTCAGTTAACGTCCAGTTTTAATGATCAGTTTCTTATAAAAAATGCTTAACAGAACTGGTGAAAGAGAACTGAACTGACAACTGGACACTAACACTGGATGACTGATCAGCTACAACTGGTGACTCAATTGATGGCTCAACTAGAACTGGAAGTTTTATCAATCACTGATGAATATAAAACTGAACAAATGGCCAGTATTTGTATCAGTAACTGGAAATTTTATCACTTACTGATCAACGTAAAACTGAATAAATGAGTTTTTATATCAGTAACTGGTAAAATTGTTTCAATATACTGGTTGTGCTGATATCAGCTATAATGATCGGTTATCCATCAGTTAGTGTTCAGTTCTTTTATCAGTTTTGACGGCATTTTTCTTAAGGATAACTCTTGGAAGAGATATCAAATTATAACAGCCTTATTAAGGAACTGAAGCGCAACGCTTTCTGTCTATTTTGTTTTGCACGCGCGTCAACGATGCGAGCATGCACTGCAAATCCAGGCGTGTAATTCTCACACACATAAGTGTGTGAATGGTGAAACCCTTTCAATGCACTCATATGTGTGTTATGTTTACGATTTTACACACTTATGTGTGTAAAAATTGCACACTTGGCTTTGCAGTGTAAAGATCGTAAACGCCGAAATAATCAATCTAGAACCGCTTTTCTTTACGATCGTCGAGAGCGAGTAGGACGATATCCATCACGACTAATGCGATTTATCTGTCGCAAGTTTCCTCCGTCAAAACGTAAAGTCGACTTACCGAGTCGGATTTTTAATTTATCGGACGTTTTCATTGATATTAAATTAACATATTCCACCAATGTGTCAAAACGTGCGTCCTAAATGAGAAAAAAGGGCGGAGAAAAGAGCGCGTCTAGTTCTAACCGAGGAACAGCGTCGCTCAAATTTATTCTCGAAGTAATCATAGAAGGGGCTCAGAGCCTGGGCTGTAGTGTCAAAAAAATTGGTTTAATTAAAATATAAATCGAAGACGTTTCGGTCCTAACTGGACCGCCTTCGGTACAAACAAAGAGATGTAAATTAGCGCATGATAGATAACAGAATACAATTAATACAAACAATTACTGTGATACAAAATATGAAAAAAAAAATAGAACGGTCATACACAAAACGCAACGCGAGCATGTGTAACGTAGAAAGTTGGAATCGCGTTGACCAGTATCGATGACGTTACCAAAAATGAATTTCAAATTTATTCTGTTAAAGAGAGAGGAAGGGGGAGAGAGAGAGAAAGAGAGAAAAAGAGAGAGAGAGAGAGAGAGAGAGAGAGAGAGAGAGAGAGCCGCGAGGAATATCGAGTACATTTTCCACGCTGGAAATTCAGCGACAGCGTCTACAACTCCGCGAAACGTTTCGCGACATTCCCGCCGTACTCCACCCTTAACCTTCTCCCCTCCCCGCTTCTCATCCCCGGTCGCAGCCTGCGCACCCCCGGAGGAACGCGAGTCGTTACATCGCGAGGGATTGTCGTTCGCAGGTGGAGGGACTCGACCGCCGCGGGACGAGTTTCGAAGCGGCGCTATAATACGCGTATTCGTAGCTATCGGGGTAAATGGGGCATACCGGGATAACGGCGCTCAGCGCGGCCCGCCTATCGACCTGCTCCGACGTTTAAGTCTCGATCTCGCGGCAATTTCACGGCGCGGCTGCCGCCGGCTGCGGGCTCTCGTTTCCGCGCCCGAGCATCTGGATATCGACGATCGCGCGCGATCGGGACGTTGAACCGCGTGGGAAATTGTTTAACAAGAGAAATTTGGCGATCCGCAAATTCCCGGGAGAAAAAAAAAGAGACACGAGACACACGTGGGAGGATAATCGGGGAGTTGCCGAAACCAAACAGCTGTTATTTTACGGTGAGAGAGAGAGAGAGAGCGCACAGAATAAAATGAATTAAATACTGTAGAAGAAACTTGTTTTTTTGCGCATTTCAATTCTTGTTGCGCAGGACAAGTTGGAAAAACGGCATATGAATTAACAATTGAATTAAAATTTTTGAACTACCTTCGTCTTGCTCGGATCTAAAAATTGATTTGGCGTTCTCGTTTCCTATTCGATTATAATTCTGGCATCTGTATGTTAATTTTTATAACACTTTTTAAATTTACGTAGAATTTCTTGTTTGTACGTGATGAAAAATTACAAAAAATTGTAAAATTTACACAATTAAAGGCAAGTTTACTGATTGTATAAGGGAACAATTTTATCTACAAGGCGTAGATTTACTGACGTATGTAACTATAACAGATGGTCCTAATATTACCTGCTATAATAATTGTAATTTTTTTACAATGCACATAAAATGGTAAACAGAATACTGCTCTTGTTTTTGACACAAATTATAAATTATTTAGCGGGGAGTTTAATTATTCGAATTGATTCCATAAGAGTGTCCAACCAGCTGGCATAATAATTTTCCGCAGTTTTGTTGTAAATAAATTCATTTCGCGCGAAATCGAGAGACCGGTGGACGGCTGCCGGAACAGTTTGACGAAATTAAGCTCACTTTTGGCGCCTGCGGAACTCAAGGTTTCAGAGCGTAAAGCTCGAAACTCTCGGCTTGCACGCCACAATGCAATCGCGCGTCGTCTCGCAGTTCCGTCGTCGTGCGGTAATACCGTGGAATCGAATTATGCGGCGTCGGTCGCCGCGGGAGATGGGAATTAATAGTTTCGGTCGGCGAGGAGAAAAGCTGCGCGTCGACGCGGCGATGAGGGAATAGGGACGCCGGCGTTGTTCGCCGATGGGACCGGGTATGGATATTGGGCAGTGGGCTGGCGGACCTGCCTAGCAATAAATCAGTGCCGTCCCGCGGTAATATACTGCTCGGTCAGCCTGTTTAACCGTAATAAAGCGCATTGCTCCCAGAGCGACTGGGATCGAGAAGTCTCGCAAGACGCGGTGTTTCGGTGTTTCGGTGAAGCCCGCGGAATCGATCGATCGCGATCATCGCCAGTGTTTGTCTCGTGAATCTCAATTTTAAAGGAACATCGCGTATAGTTGATCTCCCGAGAGCGTGCCGGAAGAGAAATAAGCCCTGCAAACGCTTTCAATAAAGATCGAACGAGTGTGACAATTTTTGAAATTATCGAGCCCCCAACTTCAAGAGAGAGAAAGAAAGAGAGAGAGACGTTTTAAAATTGAAAATGCCGAGCTCACAAATAATGCAGAATTATTTTTATAAAACTGTACACGCATCTACAGTGATGGACAGAATGGTTGGGACAATTTTTTTTTTAGAAGTTTAGGAACATCCATTTAGATTCGGGCTCACGTTCCAAAATCTTCTTCTCCGAGGAATATTTTGCTCTTCGGCCATTTCGAAACCACTTTGAGCCTTTCCAATCTATTTCTCGAGTAAAATTTTCCTTATAAAAAATATTTTGAAACGTATAAACCTGAATCTAAACGTGTTACTAAACTTATTTAAAAAAGTGGTGCAATTCTCTCCATCACTGTACATTAATAATATCTGCGGCTAGTTCTTTTTTCTCGTGTACGCTCGCAATGTTTAAAAAGGCAGTCGACGCTGCTTGGACTCTTGAATTATGAATCTCGTCGCGTGAGTATGGTGGATATGATTTTGTACGAGAGAGTTAAAATTCGTTGAAGACACAGTTAAGACGCGATTAAGCTCACTTGGAAGTACGTGAGGAAAAATCGCCGAGACTTTTCGAGGATCGGAGAACGTCGTCGGGCCGCCTCGAGGAGGACGAAGTAGACGAAAGTTTCTTTCCGAGCGAGCGACAAATATCGTTTCCCTCGATTCGATAGCAATCGAGGGAAAACAAACGCTCGCTCGAGGGGCCGAGGATGGATTATCCCGTCGATGCCTCCGCGATCCTTTTTTCGCGTCTTTTCCGAACCCCCACGCCTTAAGCTAACCTTTTTGTATGCCATTCCTCGATCAAACATTAAATTTATTTTCCCGCTTAAACAGTTTGGCAAGTGCCCAAGCTTCTCAATTTTTACACGCCTGGTTTCGAATTCAGATTCTCGACGCCTAAGTGCTTTCATCAAGATAGAGAACTTTATTTTACTAATATATGAAACTTTACATGTATAACTGAGTGTACAGACATATTTCATTTTTGCAATCTGAAAGCACAGGTTGCATAAGAAATGCAATCGTAATACATTCCCAAACAACACGTATGTCTAAAAGACGTCTTAAAGATGGGTTGTTACTCAAAATTCAACAACTTTCTAACTGCGACATGAAAAAATTCTGTTTAAAAGTTGAAGTTGACCTTGAAATTTCTGAATCGTCTCCACTTATGAAAATAGTTCACGTAATAATCTTCTTGCAATCGTGCAACTTTTGTACGTAATTTTTCATACAGCGCGTAAGTTGACAATTTGTTGAAGGTGTAAAGTTAGTAGTCTCGTCACACGTATACAGGATGTCCCAGGAGGAAAGGTCAATATCCTGGGAGGTGATAGTATCGGTCATTTTAAGCAAAACTGTTCGTATGAATATATGTCTCGTTCCCCACTGTTTCCGAGATAGAGCCACTTGAATGTCTCGTGTATTCACTTTTCTTCTGTGCACTTTACTCTTCATCCAACCCCATAAACAAAAATCCAACGGGGTTAAGTCTGGAGATCTTGGTGGCAAATTAATGGCGCTGCCACGGCCAATCCACCGATTAGGGAAAGTGACGCTGAGGTTGCACCACAAATCGGGTATAATGAGGAGGGGCTCCGTCATGCTGAAAGTACATAACACGCCGTTG